CGTGTCCATATCATCTCAGCCTTGTTTCTCTCACCTTCTCTGCATTATCTATACCACCACACATCTTCTGATCTTTTCATTTCATAACGTGATCAACTCTCTTCATCTCTTTTTACGTGTTCATGTCATCTCAGCCTTGTTTCTCTCACCTTCTCTGCATTGTCTATACCACCACCACACATCTTCTGATCTCTTCATAACGTGATCAACTCTCTTCATCTCTTTTTACGTGTCCATATCATCTCAGCCTTGTTTCTCTCACCTTCTCTGCATTGTCCATACCACCACCACACATTTTCTGATCTCTTCATAACGTGATCAACTCTCTTCATCTCTTTTTACGTGTCCATATCATCTCAGCCTTGTTTCTCTCACCTTCTCTGCATTGTCTATACCACCACCACACATCTTCTGATCTCTTCATAACGTGATCAACTCTCTTCTTCTCTTTTTACGTGTCCATATCATCTCAGCCTTGCTTCTCTCGGCTTCGCTGTATTGTTTATTAATTCAAACTTTATTATTACAATAATTCTTCTTGTAGATATATCCAATTTTTCCCAAGACGTCGAAACAGATAAAAAGAAATGTTACATAAACCAGGACGTTTGGAGGGAAGTACTTTCTCATTACACACTCTCTGATCCTCGCACACCTGAACTTGATTCTCAAGTATTCTCATGTGTTTCCGATGCATTTCATTGTGTCATTGGCAATCAGAATGTTTCCACGGACGACAATACGTCATTGCGTGACGTTATATCACGTGTCGATCACGTGCAAATATTTGTAACCGGAAGTCTGTATTTAGTTGGAATGGTGTTGAAATTACTAGAGGCTGATAGTGTGAATATCTAGTTATTTACCCAGATTTTCAGCCAATTCAAAGCTTTTATCAAAGAGTGAGAAATTTTTTTTACGTAGTAAGTCTTGTATTTGGATAGTCTGCGTGGCAATTTTCTTGACTGATTGCAATTCTAATAAACAAATGGTGATAATTTGAAATGGAAAATAGTTCAAATCGTTAGAATATTAAAATATGCAAATAAATTGGTTTGAATTACCTTGAAGTTCATACTAGCCTCCTGCGCAGACGTTGTTACGGCACTAACAACGTCTGCGTAAGTGCGCAGGAGGCTACCTTCATACATGCTTCGAGAGAAAATTCTTCTATTCCTGCAGTTGGAGAAGATTCTTTATTCTTGGAGTTTTAAACTTGCCATTTTAAAGCGAACTCACATGCACCTCTTTCACGACATGTACAAAACTGTCTGATCGCACGCCCAGCTTCAAACTTGCCTCGCGTGGCTGTTCGATCTATTCGTCAGATAATTATCTGATCTGTCTTTGATTGGCCGCAGTCTACAGAGAAACGACTCTGATTCATTCAACCTGACAAACGCGGAATACATTTTGCAATGCAAATCGTTGACGAGTCAATCATATTTGATTAACATCATTTGCATTGCGAATTTCGCTAAAATTGCCCAGTGGGACATCACATCGCACTTTAGTCGCGTTTCTACCCATTATGAAAAAACCTATTAAAACAATTGATAATTTTTATTCTAAATATAGCTTATTATAAATATGGTATTCTAAAAGCACCCCAGCGCTGTGCCTGTACTAGAATTGGTACTGCGCAAATCTGATTTTGAGGGATGATCAGTGTGGAGGATTGGTTCGAACCATGACGTCATTGCGTAGTATTACTAAAATTCCATTCAACATGGCACCTTTGAATAACCCGAAAAGTCTAAGAATAGTAACTGTTCCTAAATCGTAAAAAAGATCTCAAGTTATAATTTTGTTATCGACTCGCCGTACAATTTCTTTGAATTCGCAACAACGACCGCCTGGGTGAGCCCAAGTTGAAACCGGCATGCATCAAAATATTAAACTTGATGTTATGTCTTTTATAGTGTCGTTGGCAGGAAATGTCACTTGAGACACGAAACTTAAAATACGTTTCAATTTTTTGCCGATTTTCTCACTTAAAAGAAAGGAATACTTAACTGGAAAACAAGCGATGAACTGGAGGAAATGTATATCCTCAACTCAAAGAATGAATTGGTTTCATTTCTGAGGCAAACGGGTCGCTTCACTGGCATTGTGTGTTGACGGCACGTGCACTCGTTTCAAGCATATTTTATCAGTCAGAGATGACAGGGTTATTTCCAGATCTTGAACCGGTTTGCTTTATAACTGAGGAAGTACCAAGAGAGGTTAGTATTTGTTTAATACTGTCAATAAGAATATTATCTACACTTGGTCGGTTTTATATCCAGTAAATATGTTGTTTATTTCCCGTTTTGTGTTAATTATTAATTGTTGATTTATTAATATTTGCTTTAATTTAATAGTATAAATTAATGCTTAACTTGCTGTATTTTATTCTACTGAATGTTGCAAAATTTTAATGTATACTTTCTATGATATATTTCTTTGTTCATGATTAATTTTGTCTCATACACAATATTACCAAACAGCTCAACAGGTGGTTTAATTTAAAGTGCTTAACACTCTATGCCACAAAAATTTTATTGCAGTTTTGAATGAGGGGCCATAGTGGAAAGTTGGGCACTTTAACGGGAGATCTCCTGCGGCAGGCAAAGGTAAAAAACTGCTGATGCGGCAAAATCTTGCTGCAGAAAAACTGTAAAATTGATGGTGCAGCGGAAATATTTTAGAAAATACCTGCGGCAGAATTTGGGTGACATGCCAGTGGTGTTTGTACAACACATCTTAAGATGTATTAATTATTTGACAAAACGTCTTTTTTTTAAGAGTGATGGCTTCAATGTTTACTGTTTAGTAGTCAGGGGTATTGCATGTAGTCGTCTGAATTTTTACCTGCGGCAGCATATTATTGGCATTGCGGCAGGATAGAATGCATGGTGTTCTTAACTGCGACAGTCTCCTGCAGCAGCCAAAGCATACTTTCCACTATGGATGAGGGATGGCAAATATGTTAATTAGTTCTTTTACAGTTTTGGATTTCCAGGAACCCTGCAGCGAATTTACGATTGGCCAGGGTGCATTCCATGCACCCCATGCAAGAGATCTCTTTGAAAATTACAACCGTGGAAAGTGCATTTCCAGCTATTTCCTACAATAATTTTGTTTAAAGTGACCATGTATATATTGCCTGATGATAGGCAACATCGTGGCCAGGCATATTTTTCAAGCTTGCCCGGTTTGGATACACACTCAGAGTAACATCACAAACATCATATTCACTTGAGTACACAACACCAACACAACAAATCATGATAGGCAAATATATTTCTGTCAAGTGTCAAACATTACTTTGTCAAGTCATGAAATAGAATTCTGGAGGCTATGTTATACCATGAACATTTTCAAAACTACCCTGTTTCACCCTTCAAGCCAAGTAAAAAAGGAGAAATATACTTCAATTAGGATGTTGCAGAATATCGATATACTGTACCGATAATTATCAGTTTTTTTATAAATACCACAACAGCCTAACTTCAACCTTGCATGCAATGATAGTATAGCCAGCTGAGCATGTAACTGTTAGTATTTATTATAGTGTACATAGCAAACCAAGCTCAAAAGGATAGCAAACCAAGCTCAAAAGAGCATATGTGTTCAGTATCATGAAAATTATTGGCTGAAGCTTCAATTACAATACCTTGCATGCTCACATACAGGGATGAAACTGTTCTAAGCTACAATTGTCTTCATGCATTTGGGTAAAGCATTCACAGGCTCAGACAGATATAATAAACACATTTTTGATCAACAGATAACATAGAATGCAGTATATTTGTAATGCCAACTACAACAAACTTCTGAAATACATGCTGAATCTTTGCTGCTGCAGTGAACACTCTGTAAACTCCCTGCTTTATTGTCAGATTGTTGGCAATAGGTGTAGAGCTTTATGTGACTGCAGTCAGGAGAAAAAGCTGTGTAGCCACGTCTATACTGGACAAACCCACATTAGCACAAAGTTATGCCACTGTACTCATGGTGTGACTCACTATTGAATTGGTGAAACTTCTTTTGCAGGTTTCTGTTTCATCTTTTTATATATTACACTCATTTGGGTTTTCATGACTGTTGAATAATTAGGCGACATAAATAAATAAAAGGCATTATAACTTGTTTAGCATCCGCTCAATTTTTGAGTAAGATAACAAAGTAGGATGCAATGCAACTTTAGGGTTATTTCTTCCCGCTGATT